CTTCCATATCTGGCTTGCAAGTGTTGAGTTTCGGAGAGAAAAGAGCATTACGTGGCATGTGGCCTCAAATTTCCTAACACTCTGATATTATTATTATTATTATTATTATTATTATTTCTAATTTTCTTTCACCGCCCACGGCCGACATATCCCTGAAGATGCCCTCTTGGGCGAAAATTTGGAAAGGAGTTTGAAGTTTGGTTTTGAGAGATTTGGAGAGACTTTAATTTTTTTTTTGTAGCCAAGGACTTTGTGCGGCCGTGGGCGGTGAAAGAAAATTAGAAATCATGACAAGGCTACAGAGGAGTTACGCCATCCTTATTATTATTATTATTATTTTATTTATTTTACTAGGGTGTTTCCCACAGACCTATGGTCTTCTTACGGGAGCCCCTAGAAAGGTTAAGCATGAGCGAACAAATGGGCGATAATCTGTACAAGAGCGAACAGTGGAAGGCAGCATATTCCACCGATCAGAACCTATGTAGCCAAGACGAGAAAAAACAGCTTTAGTGTGGGCAGAAGGCAAGGCCAGAGAAAAAGAGATTTGGGACCTAGTGACGGAAGTAGTATGTGCACTGGAGGAGCGGGTATGGAAAATTTCTTTTAGGAGGGAGCTACATGTGCCGCTATGGACAGAGCGAAATACAAGAATAAAAACTTCAAATTGACTCGGACGGAAATGTGAGAGAGATTGTATAGGCTAAGAATATGAGAGGCACTGGTAAAGTTATCGAAACCAAAAACTATTCTTAGACACCTGTTAAATAGCCGGACATACTTATCGAAATAGTAAGAACTGAGGGTGTGGACGTATGCGCTACTTGCATACTCCAATGACGACTGAATAACACTAAGGTAAAAGCTACGCCGTGCGTGGAATGGCAAGAGATATCTTGACATGCGGTAGGCGCCGAGTTTCCTGTTGACAGACCCAATCAAACCGTCAATTTGTGGCCCAAAAGTCAGGTGCTCGTCAATGACAATGCCAAGATAGCGTGCGGACTGCATTAGAACGAGGTCTGTCTCGTTGTCCAGGAAACGACCAATCAGCGATATTTCCGCCTAGGGCCTTATCAGAGTTTAAAGCCCACTCAATCGTTATTTTACTTCTCTTGATGACGCGTCGAGGGCCTTGGATTAGTTTAAAGCCCGCTGAATATACACTAAACTGGTGCGTACAACTACTCCCTTTATGCATTATAGTACAGTACAGATAATATATTTTTTTTTTAGTACAGATAATGAACTATGCATAAAATGTACGGTGCACTACTAAAAGCTCCGCATTTCAGAAGTTTGTACGGTTTTTGCCTCCATATTCTTTCATCTGTACGAATTTCCTTTGTCAACAGCTTGCGGAAACCTATAAAAACCGAAGAGAGAGAGTGTTGTCTGATGATTGGTTTTTGCCATGAAACTCTGAGTTACAACAAAAAACAGCCCTATATACTTCCTTTTGTGTACCTCTTGCGTACTACGCTCTGCCCATTCCGGGCATTTGAGCACTATTGCAGGTTAAGGCGCACACCCTCTGTAAAAACCGAAGATCAAAGTCATTAGAGGTATCGACAAGGGACTCTCAAAGCCCCTAAATAGCTCCACAAGCTATGAATAAGAATGAAGGTCGCAATAAGAGTCCAGCATTTCATTTGCTTCTATTCTACTTTTAGTAGTCCTAAAGCGGGATTCACAGAAGCTTTTTTTGCCATGCGACACGCGATGTGACAGCCGCGAAACCGGGAAATCCCCAAATCGCAACCATCGCGGACCCCACGCAAGTGCCGCACAACAGGGCCATCGTGGAAGTTGAGCTTGGCTCAACTTTTGCGATGCGACAAGCGATTTGGCGTACGATGTTGGCCTTTTCTACAGCAAAGTTGTACAAAGGTTCAAGAGTTGCCTATAAATTTGTACAAGTTGCACCAAACTGCGCGAATACCATGGTGACGTACCCAAATCAGCAAGACTTTGTCGCATCGCTGACTTCTTCTGTGAATGGTATTTCGCGAGTTCGCATCGCACGCGTCCATCGCAGTTCGCGTCGCATCGCAAAAAAAGCTTCTGTGAATCCCGCTTAAGTGGTGCTGAGTTCCATAACTTACCAGAAGAAAATATTCTTTCAAGTCTCTCCGCACACAAACCACAAAACTACCCAATATAATGGTACACAAGCACAATTGAAGTCAGATAAAGCAAGTAACCTCGTTCTAAAATAGTCAGTGCATGGCAGGGAGGGTCTTATGGCTTGTTTGTGCCCTTCAGGGTAGCCCTCGGGCCTACGGCCCTCAGGCTAACCTGCCGGGCACTAACAAGCCATAAGGCCCACCCTGCCATGCACTAACCTATAAATACAACCCAAATATGATATAATGACAGCACATAGATGCACAGTAAATGGCACACAGTAGACACCCTTAGCAAACAACGGTAACGCTATTTTTTACGGTACTCGTACCTTGATCACCCAAATAGCGTTGAAGCTGCAGCGTATAAACGTTATGGGGGCTGATTTATCGTTGTGACCAACGGTACGTGTTTTGGCCAAATATTACATAGTCCGTACGCATTTCACCATGACATCGCGTAGATGGTGACAAAAATGGTTGTACCGCGCGAAATCAAAGCTATTCTTGTGGCAACAGCGTACTAAAAATAGCGTGCATCTTGCTAAAGGTCGAACCCAAATCACGGTATTTTCCCCCTTACGATAATACCGTTACAACATAACGTTTTTTGCTAAGGGTGTCTAGTAGCGCATAATTATAGCATTATACCTACATTAATTATACACCCCCATTCATCACACCGAGCTTCGGCCAGTGTATATTCACTGTATTTTCTAGAAAAATAATACTGGTAATATACACCACTGCAGAGAAATAAATACTGATAATATACACCATAGGAGAGAAATAAATCCTGTATATTAAAATACAGGTGGAATCCTGATAATTCGAACCTCCAAATGCCAGATAAAACTTTTTTTTCTAATTATCCGGACATTCTAATTATCCAAACATGAACCTACAACACAATATGTATGTCAAAATGCTCCCATGGTCACGCAGAGTTGCGCTATGGACCTTAGACACAGATTTCACGGATACTGAACTGACCGGCACAGCCTGCTCATGCAAACTGAACTGACCAGTACAGTGTACAGTGAACTTCGAATTACACTTTGCTGACTTCGAATTATCAGCACAAATCCCACACATTTTCTATGTAAGTGGAATCCGTGGAACTTTGAATTAACCGGACATGTCCGGTTCGAGGTTCCAATTATCAGAAAAGTTTATGTGGGAATCGTATTGACAGAAATCGGTCCTGGAAAAACTTCTAATCAAGCCATATTCGAATTATCAGGATTCCACCTGTATATGTACTCCTTTTTAGGATTCAGACCGAGGTAGGTACAAGTCGGATATACCGTCGGATATGCCCTTCGCTGGAGTGTATATGGAAAATATACACCATCAAACAAACCTCGGGCTTCGGCCTCGGTTTGTATTTGGTGTATATTTTCATTATACTCTCCAGCTCAGGGTATATCCTATTATGTAAACATCAGCGGTACGGCAGAGTCGAGATACAACATTCCAACGAATTCATTATAAAGCGAGAAGGCCTTTCACACTTGAGGTTTTGTAGCAATATCTATGGTGCAGACTATACGCAAAATTTACTTGTTGCTTTTGTTGTGTTGTGGTTGAGCATTGGAGACATTGGCCTGCTGTAGAAGAATGGCATAATTATAAAATTTTAATATTGTTGCCGTTGCGCATTGGAGACATTGGCTTGTTGTTGAGCACAGGCTTATTGATGAGTGGAGTATGAGTCGGAAACGTCGCTCTGTTGGTGAAGAGTCAAGTGCGAATTTTTGTAACGGAACTTGACTTTCAACTGCACAGAGACCCAACCCCAACCCAGGCACAACCACAGCCAATCCAGGGAAATCCAGTGATGCAGATAATTATATTTTATTCTATAATTATTATACTTTTACAGCATTACAAACGTTGCAGTAACCGAGAGACAAAGTCTGGAGAAGAAAGAAAAGAACTGGCCAACTACTACCTTGAGCCCAGGTCATTTGCATTTCCCTGGAACTAGCTCAAGTCCACATGCTCCTACACGAGGTCACAGGAATCATGCATAAACAGTTGGACACAGCAGCAAGTAACTTGTACTGACAATTATGATAAGACGTCATTTGTAGAACCAGCAGCAGAAGGATACGAATTATAAAATTTTAATATTGTTGCCGTTGCGCATTGGAGACATTGGCTTGTTGTTGAGCACAGGCTTATTGATGAGTGGAGTATGAGTCGGAAACGTCGCTCTGTTGGTGAAGAGTCAAGTGCGAATTTTTGTAACGGAACTTGACTTTCAACTGCACAGAGACCCAACCCCAACCCAGGCACAACCACAGCCAATCCAGGGAAATCCAGTGATGCAGATAATTATATTTTATTCTATAATTATTATACTTTTACAGCATTACAAACGTTGCAGTAACCGAGAGACAGAGTCTGGAGAAGAAAGAAAAGAACTGGCCAACTACTACCTTGAGCCCAGGTCATTTGCATTTCCCTGGAACTAGCTCAAGTCCACATGCTCCTACACGAGGTCACAGGAATCATGCATAAACAGTTGGACACAGCAGCAAGTAACTTGTACTGACAATTATGATAAGACGTCATTTGTAGAACCAGCAGCAGAAGGATACGAATTATAAAATTTTAATATTGTTGCCGTTGCGCATTGGAGACATTGGCTTGTTGTTGAGCACAGGCTTATTGATGAGTGGAGTATGAGTCGGAAACGTCGCTCTGTTGGTGAAGAGTCAAGTGCGAATTTTTGTAACGGAACTTGACTTTCAACTGCACAGAGACCCAACCCCAACCCAGGCACAACCACAGCCAATCCAGGGAAATCCAGTGATGCAGATAATTATATTTTATTCTATAATTATTATACTTTTACAGCATTACAAACGTTGCAGTAACCGAGAGACAGAGTCTGGAGAAGAAAGAAAAGAACTGGCCAACTACTACCTTGAGCCCAGGTCATTTGCATTTCCCTGGAACTAGCTCAAGTCCACATGCTCCTACACGAGGTCACAGGAATCATGCATAAACAGTTGGACACAGCAGCAAGTAACTTGTACTGACAATTATGATAAGACGTCATTTGTAGAACCAGCAGCAGAAGGATACGCACATAGAAAGTACTGTAGCATACAGGTGCTAAGCATCAGCAACATAACACTCATGAGTCAGACACCTAGAAGCATGCATACGCTAACTCTTGATGCAAGACACAGAGGCGAAGAGAACAAACAGCAGTAAAGCAGAGACATCATTTTGAGCACACCAACATGGCCAAGACAGTTGGCCCTATGCTAACATTGTCACAAAGCCATAGTTCCAGTTGAATTTCCTTGCTCAAGTCTACTTTTCAATTCTTCATTCAGTTGTAGTTGTAGTTGTTGTTGTGGTGAGAGATTGGCCTGTTGCTGGTTATTTGCTTCATTTGGAACAGAATTTTGATCCTGCAGCTGTTGCTTGTCACCGAAGGCAGAAGGCTGTTGTTGGCGGACTGCTTGCTGGCGCTGTACTGTCGTGTCCAATACAGAGGCGCCAACAAAGTCGCTCTGCATTGCTTCAGTTGAGCTGGTCATTTCGTTTTCTTCTACACCTTGTCCAGTCCACACTGGCGTACTGTAAACGGGTGCTTTGCTAGCCGAGTTGTCGGCAGTAGGCTGTTGTTGGCGGACTGCTTGCTGGCGCTGTACTGTCGTGTCCAATACAGAGGCGCCAACAAAGTCGCTCTGCATTGCTGCGCCAGTCTTGTCAGTTGAGCTGGTCATTTCGTTTTCTTCTACACCTTGTCCAGTCCAGACTGGCGTACTGTAAACGGGTGCCTTGCTAGCCGAGTTGTCGGCAGTAGGCTGTTGTTGGCGGACTGCTTGCCGGCGCTGTACTGTCGTGTCCAATACAGAGGCGCCAACAAAGTCGCTCTGCATTGCTGCGCTAGTCTTGTCAGTTGAGCTGGTCATTTCGTTTTCTTCTGCACCTTGTGCAATCCAGATTGGCACTGTGACATTGCAAGCGGGTGCTTTGCTAGCCGAGTTGTCGGCAGTAGGCTGTTGTTGGCAGACTGCTTGCTGGCGCTGTACTGTCGTGTCCAATACAGAGGCGCCAACAAAGTCGCTCTCCATTGCTGCGCCAGTCTTGTCAGTTGAGCTGGTCATTGCGCTTTCTTCTGCACCTTGTGCAATCCAGATTGGCACTGTGACATTGTAAGCGGGTGCCTTGCTAGCCGAGTTGTCGGCAGTAGGCTGTTGTTGGCAGACTGCTTGCTGGCGCTGTACTGTCGTGTCCAATACAGAGGCGCCAACAAAGCCGCTCTGCATTGCTGCGCCAGTCTTGTCAGTTGAGCTGGTCATTTCATCTTCTTCTGTACCTTGTGCAATCCAGACTGGCACATTGTAAGCGGGTGCTTCGCTAGCCGAGTTGTCGGCAATTACGTGTGATTCAGCAGCCTGTTCCCCAACACCACCTCCATCAGCACTCCAACAGTTACTGCTCAAGGAGCCTTCGGGGTTTGCGGCAGAGCGACACGCGTCCTCCATCATTTCAGTTCGCGGATAGTCATATTGCATGACGGTGTCGTATTCTGCAAAAGCGGAAGCAAGCGCCTGGTGGCCGGTACCTTGCTGGAGATTTAAAGTAATACCATTTTCCTGGAAGGAATCGTAAGCTAAGCCGCTAGATCCAGATTTACTTTCTCGCCGCACTAATTCTGACGTGTTCTCTGATGAGATCCAGCAACTAAAAACAACAAATATGCCATGCACATGGACAGATAGACAGACAGACAAACACACACACACATGCACACAGATAGACATCCATAGATATGCATAAATACACCACTGAACCAATATTTATTATTATTTTTTATTTATTTCTTATGAAAGTGCACATGCCCATAGAATGGAAGAGAACAACAACAACAACATCAAGAGAACATAGGGGACTACAAGGGGCGTGTAGGTGCTATTTAGCTGTGCCGGTGAGGTAAAGTGCGCTCCCCCGACCAATGGTCTCGGGATCAAGGCGCACATCACGCACCATGGGGGAAAGGGAGAGAAGAAAGACTGTGTGTGAAGAGTGAGAATCTGAGAGCCAGACAATGATGGAGAGAGAGAGAGAGACATAGAGAGTGAGAGAGAGAGAGAAATATCAGAGATAGAGCGATAGATAGAGAGAAATTGAGAGAGAGAGAGAGAGAGAGGGGGGGGGGGGAGAAAGGGAGGGAGAAGGAGGGAGAGAGAGAGAGTAAAATATAACACACGTTTTACTCCCTTCTGAGAGGAGGGCAATGAACAAAGAAAATTTAGGCCTGGGTTTGCTCCCACACTGGAGTTCGCGCTATTACGCCGACTTGACTTGACACTTGACTGACTCACGACTGCCATCCAGAGCACACGAGAAGTCCATTGAACCTTCGACTCGGCAAACCTGCAAGAAAGCACCACTCCCTGCTCAATACACAGTGCTTCGGGGAATTCACCCCTAATCAGTTGAGCTTCAGTATTCTGAGCAGTCGGAATAGCGCGAGCTCCAGTATGGGAGGAAACCCATTCCTAAAAAAATCATCCCCGAAGTCGCAACCACTATTTCGTAAAATTTAGGCCAAAACTAAAAAATAGCCTTCGACTCGGCAAACCTGCAAGAAAGTACCACTCCCTGCTCAATACACAGTGTTTCGGGGAATTTACCCCTAATCAGTTGAGCTTCAGTATTCTGAGCAGGCGGAATAGCGCGAGCTCCAGTACGGGAGCAAACCCATTCCTAAAAAATCATCGCCGAAGTCGCAACAACTATTTCGTAAAATTTAGGCTAAAACAAAAAATTCCCTTGTTTCGGGTCGGCCGGCCGAGTCATTTTTCTCCTAATTCTGAAAATTGTTTCGATCCGCACATGTGCATGATAGGTGCCTGGCGAGCCTGAAGGATGCTAGCGAGCCTGAAGGATGCTAGCGAGCCTGAAGGATGCTAGTGAGCCTGAAGGATGCTAGCGAACCTGAAGGATGCTAGCGAGCCTGAAGGATGCTAGCGAGCCTGAAGGATGCTAGCGAGCCTGAAGGATGCTAGCGAGCCTGAAGGATGCTAGCGAGCCTGAAGGATGCTAGCGAGCCTGAAGGATGCTAGCGAGCCTGAAGGATGCTAGCGAGCCTGAAGGATGCTAGCGAATCTGAAGGATGCTAGCGAGCCTGAAGGATGCTAGCGAGCCTGAAGGATGCTAGCGAGCCTGAAGGATGCTAGCGAGCCTGAAGGATGCTAGCGAGCCTGAAGGGTGCTAGCGAGCCTGAAGGATGCTAGCGAGCCTGAAGGATGCTAGCGAACCTGAAGGATGCTAGCGAACCTGAAGGATGCTAGCGAGCCTGAAGGATGCTAGCGAGCCTGAAGGATGCTAGCGAGCCTGAAGGATGCTAGCGAGCCTGAAGGATGCTAGTGAACCGCTCATTCGCCCGGTGCATCCGTGCAGTGCATTGAGCAAGTATCATCGAACATGAGCTACATGCCTATCGCCTGCTATCTTACATAAAAAAATCTTTTCTTCTCTGCCCGCCCTGTGTGTCTTCTGGCACATGCGAATACGCGGATTTATCGCTGACGTACACGCAGACGTGCGTATAATAATAATAATAATAATAATACACAAGAGAGAGATTGGAAGCTAGCTTTGTTACAACTCTGAGTTTCATGTATTACTACGATCATCAGGCAACTGATGGATCCAAAATGGGCAGCCAGCACATAAGGGGGAGCTAGGTGGGAAATTCTGAGGGGTATCATAGGCGACGTGTATTATAGTGCAACATAATAATAATAATAATAATTTGTAAGAAAGGTTTGCTCCCCACACCGGAGCTCGCGCTATTCCGCCGACTTTACTTGACACTTGACTGACTCACGACTGCCATCCAGAGCACACGAGAAGTCCATCAAACCTTCGACTCGGCAAACCTGCAAGAAAGCACCACTCCCTGCTCAATACACAGTGTTTCGGGGAATTCACCCCTCATCAGTTGAGCTTGAGTAGGCTGAGGAAGATTGTGCCTGAAGAGCACCACTTATATAGTGGCTCCAGGCACAAACATCACCAGGGATACAAACTTACAGAGACGCTCCGCTTCCAGCGCGATAAACACCTCGTGAACACCAGATAGCAGCGTGAGTCAGTGTCGCTCCTGGACGGTGAGACAGACGTCGAGGACCCTCGGTCATTCGCAACGCTGTCACCTCCAAACCAACTAGTCGCAAGCCCGCGTTGGGCACAACAGTACGAAGTAGTGGTTGCGAATTCGGCAATGATTTGTAAGAAAGGTTTGCTCCCCACACCGGAGCTCGCGCTATTCCGCCGACTTTACTTGACACTTGACTGACTCACGACTGCCATCCAGAGCACACGAGAAGTCCATCGAACCTTCGACTCGGCAAACCTGCAAGAAAGCACCACTCCCTGCTCAATACACAGTGTTTCGGGGAATTCACCCCTCATCAGTTGAGCTTGAGTAGGCTGAGGAAGATTGTGCCTGAAGAGCTCCACTTATATAGTGCTCTCCAGGCACAAACATCACCAGGGATACAAACTTACAGAGACGCTCCGCTTCCAGCGCGATAAACACCTCGTGAACACCAGATAGCAGCGTGAGTCAGTGTCGCTCCTGGACGGTGAGACAGACGTCGAGGACCCTCGGTCATTCGCAACGCTGTCACCTCCAAACCAACTAGTCGCAAGCCCGCGCTGGGCACAACAGTACGAAGTAGTGGTTGCGACTTCGGCACTTGAGTCAGTCAAGTGTCAAGTAAAGTCGGCGGAATAGCGCGAGCTCCGGTGTGGGGAGCAAACCTTTCTTACAAATCATCGCCGAAGTCGCAACCACTACTTCGTACTGTTGTGCCCAGCGCGGGCTTGCGACTAGTTGGTTTGGAGGTGACAGCGTTGCGAATGACCGAGGGTCCTCGACGTCTGTCTCACCGTCCAGGAGCGACACTGACTCACGCTGCTATCTGGTGTTCACGAGGTGTTTATCGCGCTGGAAGCGGAGTGTCTCTGTAAGTTTGTATCCCTGGTGATGTTTGTGCCTGGAGAGCACTATATAAGTGGAGCTCTTCAGGCATAATCTTCCTCAGCCTACTCAAGCTCAACTGATGAGGGGTGAATTCCCCGAAACACTGTGTATTGAGCAGGGAGTGGTGCTTTCTTGCAGGTTTGCCGAGTCGAAGGTTCGATGGACTTCTCGTGTGCTCTGGATGGCAGTCGTGAGTCAGTCAAGTGTCAAGTAAAGTCGGCGGAATAGTGCGAGCTCCGGTGTGGGGAGCAAACCTTTCTTACAAATCATCGCCGAAGTCGCAACCACTACTTCGTACTGTTGTGCCCAGCGCGGGCTTGCGACTAGTTGGTTTGGAGGTGACAGCGTTGCGAATGACCGAGGGTCCTCGACGTCTGTCTCACCGTCCAGGAGCGACACTGACTCACGCTGCTATCTGGTGTTCACGAGGTGTTTATCGCGCTGGAAGCGGAGCGTCTCTGTAAGTTTGTATCCCTGGTGATGTTTGTGCCTGGAGAGCACTATATAAGTGGTGCTCTTCAGGCACAATCTTCCTCAGCCTACTCAAGCTCAACTGATGAGGGGTGAATTCCCCGAAACACTGTGTATTGAGCAGGGAGTGGTGCTTTCTTGCAGGTTTGCCGAGTCGAAGGTTCGATGGACTTCTCGTGTGCTCTGGATGGCAGTCGTGAGTCAGTCAAGTGTCAAGTAAAGTCGGCGGAATAGCGCGAGCTCCGGTGTGGGGAGCAAACCTTTCTTACAAATCATCGCCGAAGTCGCAACCACTACTTAATAATAATAATAATAATAACTCTGTGGTTGGTTTTCCAACTCATTGGGTTGTAGTTTCCATCATGAGTTTGATTCCATCGTGAGTTTGATTCCATCGTGAGTTTTGATTCTATTTGCTATTTTTCGTTCCATTTTTGAGCTCATATTTTATTTTCCTGATTTCTTCTCCAGTGTATGTTGTATTGCATTTTAATACATTGTGTTAATTTTTGCCCGTAAAAGAGGCTTGCATCTCCTTAAAAAAAAAAATAATAATAATAATCTTCACTAGTTTGAGGGAAAGAGACAAACGGGAAAAGTCTGAAGAAAAAATTGACTGTCACCACCAGGACTCGAACCAGGGACCCTCGCTTGTAGCTAGCGATGCTCTAACCACTGAGCTATGGTGTAGTCGTACTCCCAGCAGAGACTGTTCATTTTCTTCAGACTTCGTAACTCACACTTCCTGTGAATCCACACAGGCGGGTGGGACGCAGCCCTCACTGTACCCACACACTTCACGTACACTCTAGCACGCGGGGAGCCCCAAGTCATAACATCTTCACTAGTTTGAGGGAAATAATAATAATAATATTTCTTGTCCCTTTGGTTTTTGGCTTTATTTTTTTTCACTTTCTTTTTGCTGTCCCACCCATGGAAATATTTCCCGGTGGGTCTGGCTTATCGCCTTCGAAAGAAGTGAATAAAGGAGACATAATAATAATGTGTGCAGCATGGCTACCTGCAATACTTGTAGGCATGCGGCCAGGCTGTGAGAAGCACCCGATACAGGTTGGCAGAAGACACAGCAATCCTTCAGCAGGCAGTGGACTAGCTGGCAGTGTGGGGAAGCAGGTGGAGGATCAAGTTCGAGCCCACAAAGTTGCAGGCATTGACCATCAGCCATCACCGCTCCCCAAACCCTCCGACCATAACATGCTTCCAAGGAGCAGTCATGCCAGAAGTGGAGGAACTCAAGCTTAATTCTTGGTTTTCACTTTCGACAGGCAGCTGGCATTCCGCAGCTACATTCGCCAGCTTGCAGTGAGCAGAGCCCAGTGGCTGGGCTTCCTCCATAGGCCAACGGCTGTGCTAGACCCTAGACACCGGGCAATTGTGCACCGTTGACTATGTCCGCCCTGTGTTAGAGTACGGCATGCTGAAGTGGATGAGCGCAGCCCTCAGCATCTTGACCCACTGCACTGCCATCCAGCACCGTGACCTACAGGTGTTTGGATATGGATCTTACCTATGAAGCATTCGACGCACCATAGCAGGGCTCTGTTTCTTGTACAAGCTATACTTTCTGGAGGGTTCGGAAATGCTGAAAGTCACTCTGACACCATCAGCAGCCGCACTGCAATGCTGCACGTCTACTCGTGAGACCACCAGATCTGCAGCACATCACCAGTCACAACTAGCAAGTATCCTTCATCCTCAGGCACAAAACAACACACTCCACTCATTTTCCCATTCCCTCATTGCAAAATGAAATCAGCTCCCGCCTGCCATTCTGCAGTCTACCCCTTCTCGCAAAGGCACGTAAACCTTCAAGAAAAATGTCAACGACCACTTGCGGCGCAGCAAGTGGGTGCCGCCACAGACAGGTTATGATCTCTCGATCCTCGTCAGCATACCAGCCGACTATACTGGCTGCACACACATGCTGATAATGCATGGCTACTACTCCTTTGTTGTGTTTGTCTTTTGTCTTTGTCTCTTTTACTACTACCGTATTTCCACAAACAGTAGGCCAGTCTACTATTTTTTCAACCTCGTCCTAACCCGGCCTTATAATCGAGGACGTCTTGTATTCGAGGACGGTCTTCTATTCTTTCAACCCAGTTTGACCCCCGGTCTTCTATTTCTCGCCACACAGTTTTACCCCCGTTCTTCAATTTTCTTCTACACAGTTTGAGCACGGTCTTCTATTTTTTCCCACAGTTTGAGCACTGTCTTCTATTTTTAACACAAGAACAAAGACTCATTTAGTAGGCCCGGTCTTCTAATCGGAGACGGTCTTTTATTTTTTCAATCGCCCCCTGCCCCGGCCTTGTATACGAGGAAGGCGTTGTATACGAGGACGGCCTTTTATTTGCGGAAATACGGTATTACTTTGTAGGGATGTGCACATAGTATATAAAAAATGGCGATAATGCAGACTAAGGTGGCATGCTACCTTAGTCTGCATTATCATACATGCCACCATGGCCTTTTCAGATTTTCATTGTACCTATTTGTAGTACCTCCCGGGATCAGTATTTCCACTTGAAATAATATCCACCCCAATGCCTCATTCTTAGCATTCTTTTATTCGCTTCCATGTAATTGGGCTTATTGCCCGTTTGGTATTGCGAATTCAAATAAAAAAACAACAACAACAACAACATGCATTGAAATGCCTGTAACATTGGCATTCCTCATTATGTTTGCACCAAATTTTCCACACATGCTGCTTTAAGGTAATGGAGAACAATTGAACAACTACCACACATGCACACTACCGCACATGCATTTCGACATGGAGAACAGCATGCCGGACACACCAAACAAGAATATCAAGAATTTTTTGGTACAAGTTTTCTGCAAGGATTTTAGCAATAACCAGATACGAATGTTAGATGATGTCTGATGATTGCGAGAGCATGAAACTTGAAGTAGCAGCAAACAAGCCTTGATTGTCCTTGATGTTCTGTTCTGATATGAATGTTACATAATGAATGTTCATGCTCAACACTAGATGCTCACGAAGACATTTATCCTTCTAGGTGGAAAGAATCTGGCTGACACACACATAAAGAAATCACGTAAAGAACGCGTTGTTGGTACAATTATCTTTCTGTGCCCATAAGTCAGTAGATGTGACAAAATCTTCAAAAGTAGAGACGTGAGCACCTCGCAAATTTGACGCAGGTATGGATACATTATCATTTACTGGATTTGGACATACCAAACAGGAGAGATGGTGTACCAAAAGTCAAACGGTACCCCTCCCCCCCCCCCCCCCCCCCCCAGAAAGGGCAACTTCTAGCACTCAACAACCATCAGGACAGTACGTAACACCTTCCGTCCCTTTGGCCTTGTCCACATAACCACAAGTAGCATCTTCACCATCTATAGTCCTTCAATATGGAATCCACATACTGCCCTCTCCATATTTTTAGTACAAAATATATAGCTGACAAAGTAGACAGTTGTCTAAAGTCCCTAGGCTGCTTGCAGTGCTCAATGTCCTGACAAAGCTGACAAAGTACATGTACCATTTTTTTCTTTTCTTTTGCTTCACATTATCATATTCATCAATTAGTAGGAGCCGTGGTTGGCTCTGGCATTCCTGGCAAGAAGGCAGATATGCCTGTTCGATTGGTGAATAAAAATATAAATACCATACCATGCCGTAACCCTTCGTGATGGCACTTCTCTTCTTCACACGGCGTACGTTAGCTAGGTGTCAGGACGTCGAATGTCTCAGTACTCTGTCAGTCTTGTGCCTAGTCGTTGCCTTTTCTGACTGTATATAGTAGATAATAAACAGTTATAGTATCTAAGTACAGAGGTGGATAGTCACTCTTAACTCGTATCCATATGTCCTTTTCCTTTCCACATTTTCCATTCCTTAAAAGAAAGAAACTTACACATTTTTCATTCCTTAAAAGAAAGAAACTTACACATTTTTCTTGACATTTTCTGGTACTTTGCTGGCGTTTTCTCCCCGAGTTGGCACCGTGCGCAAGTAAACAAATCCAGCCACCGCTAGGAGCATGGCGATGACCACAACAAGCAGAACGACGATAACGCCAAGACTCAGGCCATGTCTCACACTAGCTCCCAGCCCGCTGGCAAATTCAGTGCCGTTGATTGCACCTGTTGAGTCTACATTGGAACGAAACGAAACGGGCAGGAAACAATGAAATGATTCTCCGCATGTTTTCTTTTAAGGGACCTGGCCGGCTTGAGCCTATTTTGCTTGTGAATGGTTATAGGTAAATTGATTACTAAGCTTCAATGGTACACTGTCATGTGACTATGGGATGTTAGTGTCACATAATAATGTCACATAATAATGTCACATAATAATGTCACATAATAATGTCACATAATAATGTCACATAATAATGTCACATAATAATGTCACATAATAATGTCACATGATAGTATCACATAATAATGTCACATAATACCGTAAAATCCCGCCAGAGTCAGGGACATGATTGATTGCATCCTCGTATGACTCTGTCGCAGTCTGTGATGCCGTACTGCATTGCAGACGCGTGCTCGACCCCGTTGGAAATGTACGCAACAGTGCCCACCCTCCTGACCAGGGATCGCACAAACCCTGCGTTTTTTCGGGTCTGTTCGACTCCTGGCTCTTGACCTTTGGTCGGTGTACTAGATGCACGAACAGTTTTCGTAGGGTGAGTACTTTTTCATGTAGCACTGAATGCGGCAAGTAGGACTCGCCCATCCGCCCCTTCTCACCTGAAGCGTCGAGGAGGTAGGGGCGCTCTGGCGGGATTTTACGGTAGTATCACATAATAATGTCACATAATAGTATCAAATAATGTCACATAATAGTATCACATAATAATGTCACATAATAGTATCACATAATAATGTCACATAATAGTATCACATAATAATGTCACATAATAGTATCACATAATAGTGTTACATAATTTATTAGTGTCACAAGATAGTTGCAATTTCAAATTTGGACTTCACGGAGAATTTCAAAGTTTTTAGGAAATTAGAGGCCACATGCCACCTACTGCTCTTTTCTCTCCGAAACTCAACACTTGTAAGCCAGATATGAAAGAAAGAAAAAATCATCAGTCACACCACCGGGACTCGAACCAGGGACCTTGCTATTCGCGAGCAATGCTCTAACCAACTGAGCTACAGTATGACTCTTATCCACAGTGATGGTAAATCTATCCTTCTTCGATCAATTCATATCTGGCTTGCATCATGCTGGCAACTCACACCAATCAAGAGGGCCCTCGGCCATTCGCTTGATATCATGGGGAGCGCATCAAACTATGTCCACTGCGAGCAAATACAAATTGCAATTTCAAATTTGGACTTCACGGAGAATTTCAAAGTTTTTAGGAAATTAGAGGCCACATGCCACCTACTGCTCTTTTCTCTCCGAAACTCAACACTTGTAAGCCAGATATGAAAGAAAGAAAAAATCATCAGTCACACCACCGGGACTCGAACCAGGGACCTTGCTATTCGCGAGCAATGCTCTAACCAACTGAGCTACAGTATGACTCTTATCCACAGTGATGGTAAATCTATCCTTCTTCGATCAATTCATATCTGGCTTGCATCATGCTGGCAACTCACACCAGCAAGGTCCCTGGTTCGAGTCCCGGTGGTGTGACTGATGATTTTTTCTTTCTTTCATATCTGGCTTACAAGTGTTGAGTTTCGGAGAGAAAAGAGCAGTAGGTGGCATGTGGCCTCTAATTTCCTAAAAACTTTGAAATTCTCCGTGAAGTCCAAATTTGAAATTGCAATTTGTATTTGCTCGCAGTGGACATAGTTTGATGCGCTCCCCATGATATCAAGCGAATGGCCGAGGGCCCTCTTGATTGGTGTGAGTTGCCAGCATGATGCAAGCCAGATATGAATTGATCGAAGAAGGATAGATTTACCATCACTGTGGATAAGAGTCATACTGTAGCTCAGTTGGTTAGAGCATTGCTCGCGAATAGCAAGGTCCCTGGTTCGAGTCCCGGTGGTGTGACTGATGATTTTTTTCTTTCTTTCATATCTGGCTTACAAGTGTTGAGTTTCGGAGAGAAAAGAGCAGTAGGTGGCATGTGGCCTCTAATTTCCTAAAAACTTTGAAATTCTCCGTGAAGTCCAAATTTGAAATTGCAATTTGTATTTGCTCGCAGTGGACATAGTTTGATGCGCTCCCCATGATATCAAGCGAATGGCCGAGGGCCCTCTTGATTGGTGTGAGTTGCCAGCATGATGCAAGCCAGATATGAATTGATCGAAGAAGGATAGATTTACCATCACTGTGGATAAGAGTCATACTGTAGCTCAGTTGGTTAGAGCATTGCTCGCGAATAGCAAGGTCCCTGGTTCGAGTCCCGGTGGTGTGACTGATGATTTTTTCTTTCTTTCATATCTGGCTTACAAGTGTTGAGTTTCGGAGAGAAAAGAGCAGTAGGTGGCATGTGGCCTCTAATTTCCTAAAAACTTTGAAATTCTCCGTGAAGTCCAAATTTGAAATTGCAATTTGTATTTGCTCGCAGTGGACATAGTTTGATGCGCTCCCCATGATATCAAGCGAATGGCCGAGGGCCCTCTTGATTGGTGTGAGTTGCCAGCATGATGCAAGCCAGATATGAATTGATCGAAGAAGGATAGATTTACCATCACTGTGGATAAGAGTCATACTGTAGCTCAGTTGGTTAGAGCATTGCTCGCGAATAGCAAGGTCCCTGGTTCGAGTCCCGGTGGTGTGACTGATGATTTTTTCTTTCTTTCATATCTGGCTTACAAGTGTTGAGTTTCGGAGAGAAAAGAGCAGTAGGTGGCATGTGGCCTCTAATTTCCTAAAAAATCACAAGATAGTGTCACATAATAATGTCACATAATAGTGTCACATAATAGTGTCACATAATAATGTCACATAATAGTGTCACATAATAGTGTCACATAATAATGTCACATAATAATGTCACTTTTAATAATGTCACATAATAATGTCACACAGTCATCCAGTTTTTTACAGTAACTAACCCAAATATAATCATGACGTGATCTCAGAAGAACGACGAAGGAGGAGACTCAGTGTGACGGCAACACTGGACGTTACCAAAAACGATGAGGACGATGATGTAACTGGCGCCAGCGGAGGAGATTCTAACCGAGTGACTTGAGTAGGGAAGAGAGTGTGGGTATGAGAGAGATTGTGGGAGTGAGCGTGGGTGTGAGTTGAGTGGGGAAGAGAGTGTGGGTATGAGAGAGATTGTGGGAGTGAGCGTGGGTGTGAGTTGAGTGGGGAAGAGAGTGTGGGTATGAGAGAGATTGTGGGAGTGAGCGTGGGTGTGAGTTGAGTGGGGAAGAGAGTGTGGGTATGAGAGAGATTGTGGGAGTGAGCGTGGGTGTGCGTTGAGTGGGGAAGAGAGTGTGGGTATGAGAGAGATTGTGGGAGTGAGCGTGGGTGTGAGTTGAGTGGGGAAGAGAGCGTGGGTATGAGAGATTGTGGGTATGAGAGATTATGGGAGTAAGCGTGGGCGTGTGCTTCGACCTCGTAAGTCTTCTGTATCTTGGCTCACACATTGCTCATCACTTCTTTTACAGATTTGGGATTTGGAAAGTTTGGAAACCCCCTCGATAAGTGAAAGCCTTCGGGGAGTCCTTAGACAATAAAAAATACAAATTCTGCGTATAATTCTGAGTATAATCATTATTTTGGTATTGTTGACAAGTGTATTCTGATTCGTGTTTCTCCGTTTTGCATCCTCAAGAGGATACAGTCATGCATGGTCAGCATCGGATCCTGAATTTTTTTAATTTTCATTTATTTTTTTACTACAGTCGTCGCCAAAAGAATCCGGCCAATGCTGTGCTAGCTACCGGTAGCTGTATGTGGCCGCATGCACTGCCACTTCTAGTGCGAGTACTCTACCATGCCATGGTACACTAGTGTAGCCTAGTGCACCACGGCGCATGGTCTGCTGCTGCAGGGTCTGCACTCAGCTGCACATCATTCTGTGCTGTGCTCGACTCAGCAGGCAGAGAGCAGCGCGGACGCGGACTGTTTTCACCGCTGTGCTCATGCATGGTGCTGGTACTGTGGACCAGTGCAGTGTGCACCCTCTACCGACGCATCAGTGAATGCCACACTACAGGCACCATGGCACTGTACATCTGCTACATGTACCCATGCCATGGCATTGGCCGGAGTTTTTTGGCGACGACTGTATGTCCACCTACTTTTTGTTTCCACATCAATAGACGATGGCATGGCTGGTGCTGTGGTACCACTAGCATCTTGTGTTGATTGCGTAGCTACACCAGCTGGATTTGGCAATGGCTTAGTGTTTGGCACCTGGTTGGAGATTCCTGAAGGAGTTGCAGCACCTGTGGAAAGAAAACAATAGAGGCATAATAATTATATTAGAAGCGGTGAGGCCTCCTGCAGTTTCATACAGAATTACAGATGGAGCGGACTCGCTCCCTTCTATTTACACTGCAACGTTCGAACACATTTTCGTAGTTGCAAACCTGATGAGGGCTATATGCCAAAACGTTGTTTTAACTACGAAAATGTGTTCGAACGTTGCAGTGTAAATAGAAGGGAGCGAGTCCGCTCCATCTGTAATTCAATAATTATATTAACAGAATAAATAAAGCTGTGTGGACCCTGGCTAGCGACATACATTACTGAAGCAACGTCTTTTGCATAGCTACGGGAATAAAATATTTGTAGGCCAGGGTCAGCAAAGAATAGTAGAAGGTACTGAATCCAGATAGTATCTGGATTCAGTACATTCCACTATTCTTTCCTTTGGTGATAGTACTATTATTAATATTTATTATGAAAGGAAAGAATAGTTGAAATGACTGTATAAGAGGCAGTTAAAGTGGAAATCAAAGACTAGTCACAATGACCCCAATCATGTACACAGCAAAGAGCAGGTTCCTCTCAGACAAACATGTGATGATACTCATAAAAAGGGCTCTTTATGGCTCTTTACGAACATCTTGTGAAACCAAAAACTTTCAAGATGTTCGTAAAGAGCCTGAAGTGTGTTCTTTTTATGAGTATTACAGCAAAGAGCTTTTCCACTTTTGTCATGCAATTTCCCAACTTTTGATCACTGACAATAGGAGTTTCATATTTGCCCACCTGCAACTGAATCAAAGATGGATGGCCTGTTTGAGACTGAGCAGAATCTTTTTGCCGCTTGGAACTCATTTACGGAGCCATGTGCTCCAATTCCATGTACCACATTAACTCCATGATAAGCCCAGTGCTTATATTTTTTCAACCAGTCCGGACCCTGGGCTCAGATATTGGAGACTGGGCTTCTACTAGAGACTGGGCTTATCATTTTTCAACCACCTGGCACATGTACATTGCCTATTATTTTTCATTATAATTATCCATAGCAGAAAGTTCCCCAGCAGCTACCGGGACTGCAGTTTTGTGCTTCCTGGCACACTGAGTCTGTAGTTTAGATCTCGGCGATCACAGACTTTCACCCCAGCATGTGTTTATGTGATACTGTGTGACGTCTAACATGCGTGAACATAATTCATATGGTTCTCCATTATAAGCCCTGCGCTTATATGGGAGCCTGCGCTTGTATATCTTCGAAGCCCTCTTGGAGTGCGCTTATAATAAAGACTGGGCTTCCACAAGAGACTGCGCTTGTAATGGAGATAATACGGTATTTTGCCTCAGTTTTTTTAAAAATCCAGCACTCCACATGCCTAACGTAACTTAGCCCGATCACTTGTGTGTGCCAGCTCAATTTCTTTGCTTCTGCATGTTTGTGTTTGTGTGTGTACTACTATAGCAACTTGTATTGTGGCAACACTGGCCAACACTCAGATACAACTGCTTCTTCACACAGCTGAACAATTCTTCTTTCTTCTCAACGTTTCGGTCACTCTGACCATCTATGCTACTATGTTCACTGACTAGTCCTTTCCATCCACATAGTACTCAGTAGCCTATGTATGGGATCGTTGAACACAATACAATACATAGCGTTTTCAAACTTCTCTTCTTACCTTCACTGTCGGATACATTTGTAGTTTTGGTATTCTGTTCTAAGTTTGTCTGTGCCACGGTAGCTGATTCCAGGGTGGTTGTTGCCTGGGTATTTGAAGCCAGGGTAGTTGAAGCCAGGGAAGTTGAAACCAGGGAGGTTTTTGCCTGGGTAGTTGGCGCCTGGGTATTTGGTGCCAGAGTAGCTGGGCTCTGGATAGTTGGTGCCTGGGTAGTTGTTGCCTGGGTAGTTGTTGCCTGGGTAGTTGTTGCCTGGGTGGATGTTGTCTGGGTAGTTGTTGCCTGGGTAGCTGGGCCCTGGGTAGTTGTTGCAAGGGTAGTTGTTGCCTGGGTAGTTGTTGCCTGGGTAGTTGTTGCCTGGGTAGTTGGGTCCTGGGCAGTTGTTGTCTGGGTAGTTGGGCCCTGGGTAGGTGTTGCCTGGGTAGTTGGCGCCTGGGTAGTTGTTGCCTGGGTGGATGTTGCCTGGGTGGATGTTGCCTGGGTAGTTGTTGCCTGGGTAGCTGTTGCCTGGGTAGATGTTGCCTGTGTAGCTGGGCCCTGGGTAGTTGTTGCCAGGGTAGCTGTTGCCTGGGTAGTTGTTGCCTGGTTAGTTGGGTCCTGGGCAGTTGTTGCCTGGGTAGTTGTTGCCTGGTTAGTTGGGTCCTGGGCAGTTGTTGCCTGGGTAGTTGTTGCCTGGTTAGTTGGGTCCTGGGCATTTGTTGCCTGGGTAGTTGTTGCCTGGGTAGTTGCTGTTTGGGTAGTTGGGTCCTGGGTAGTTGGCGCCTGGGTAGTTGGTGCCTGGGTAGTTGTTGCCTGGATAGTTATTGCCTGGGTAGTTGTTGCCTGGGTAGTTGTTGCCTGGGTATTAGCTGCTTGGGTAGTTGGGTCCTGGGCAGTTGTTGCCTGGGTAGTTGGGCCCTGGGTAGTTGTTGCCTGGGTCGTTGGCGCCTGGGTAGTTGTTGCCTGGGTAGCTGGGACCTGGGTAGCTGTTGTCTGGGTAGTTGTTGCCTGGGTAGCTGGGCCCTGGGTAGTTGTTGCCAGGGTAGCTGTTGCCTGGGTAGTTGTTGCCTGGTTAGTTGGGTCCTGGGCAGTTGTTGCCTGGGTAGTTGTTGCCTGGTTAGTTGGATCCTGGGCAGTTGTTGCCTGGGTAGTTGTTGCCTGGGTAGTTGCTGCTTGGGTAGTTGGGTCCTGGGTAGTTGGGTCCTGGGTAGTGGGGTCCTGGGAAGTTGGCACCTGGGTAGTTGTTGCCTGGGTAGTTGTTGCCTGGATAGTTGCTGCCTGGGTAGTTGTTGCCTGGGTAGTTGTTGCCTGAGTATTTGCTGCTTGGGTAGTTGGGTCCTGGGCAGTTGTTGCCTGGGTAGTTGTTGCCTGGGTATTTGCTGCTTGGGTAGTTGTTGCCTGGGTAGTTGTTGCCTGGGTACTTGCTGCTTGGGTAGTTGGGTCCTGGGCAGTTGTTGCCTGGGTAGTTGTTGCCTGTTTAGTTGGGTCCTGGGCAGTTGTTCCCTGGGTAGTTGTTGCCTGGGTGGATGTTGCCTGGGTGGATGTTGCCTGGGTAGTTGTTGCCTGGGTAGCTGTTGCCTGGGTAGATGTTGCCTGTGTAGCTGGGCCCTGGGTAGTTGTTGCCAGGGTAGCTGTTGCCTGGGTAGTTGTTGCCTGGTTAGTTGGGTCCTGGGTAGTTGTTGCCTGGGTAGCTGTTGCCTGGGTAGTTGTTGCCTGGTTAGTTGGGTCCTGGGCAGTTGTTGCCTGGGTAGTTGTTGCCTGGGTAGTTGCTGTTTGGGTAGTTGGGTCCTGGGTAGTTGGCGCCTGGGTAGTTGGTGCCTGGGTAGTTGTTGCCTGGATAGTTGTTGCCTGGGTAGTTGCTGCCTGGGTAGTTGTTGCCTGGGTATTTGCTGCTTGGGTAGTTGGGTCCTGGGCAGTTGTTGCCTGGCTAGTTGTTGCCTGGGTATTTGCTGCTTGGGTAGTTGTTGCCTGGGTAGTTGTTGCCTGGGTAGCTGTTGCCTGGGTAGTTGTTGCCTGAGTATTTACTGCTTGGGTAGTTGGGTCCAGGGCAGTTGTTGCCTGGGTAGTTGGGCCCTGGGTAGTTGTTGCCTGGGTAGTTGGCGCCTGGGTAGTAGTTGGCTGGGTAGCTGGGACCTGGGTAGCTGTTGTCTGGGTAGTTGTTGCCTGGGTAGCTGGGCCCTGGGTAGTTGTTGCCAGGGTAGCTGTTGCCTGGGTAGTTGTTGCCTGGTTAGTTGGGTCCTGGGCAGTTGTTGCCTGGGTAGTTGTTGCCTGGTTAGTTGGATCCTGGGCAGTTGTTGCCTGGGTAGTAGTTGCCTGGGTAGTTGCTGCTTGGGTAGTTGGGTCCTGGGTAGTGGGGTCCTGGGAAGTTGGCACCTGGGTAGTTGTTGCCTGGGTAGTTGTTGCCTGGATAGTTGCTGCCTGGGTAGTTGTTGCCTGGGTAGTTGTTGCCTGAGTATTTGCTGCTTGGGTAGTTGGGTCCTGGGCAGTTGTTGCCTGGGTTGTTGTTGCCTGGGTATTTGCTGCTTGGGTAGTTGTTGCCTGGGTAGTTGTTGCCTGGGTAGTTGTTGCCTGGGTATTTGCTGCTTGGGTAGTTGGGTCCTGGGCAGTTGTTGCCTGGGTAGTTGTTGCCTGTTTAGTTGGGTCCTGGGCAGTTGTTGCCTGGGTAGTTGTTGCCTGGGTAGTTGTTGCCTGGGTAGTTGCTGCCTGGATAGTTGTTGTCTGGGTAGTTGTTGCCTGGGTAGTTGTTGCCTGGGTAGTTGTTGCCTGGGTAGTTGTTGCCTGGGTAGTTGGCCCCTGGGTAGATGTTGCCTGGGTAGTTGTTGACTGGGTAGTTGTTGCCTGGGTAGTTGTTGCCTGGGTAGTTGGTTCCTGTGCAGCTGTGGCCTGGGTACTTGGGCCCTGGGTAGTTGTTGCCTGGGTAATTGGCGTCGGGGTAGTTGTTGCCTGGGTGGATGTTGCCAGGGAAGTTGCTGCCTGGGTAGTTGGGTCCTGGGTAGTTGTTGCCTGGGTATTTGTTGCCTGGGTAGTTGTTGCCTGGGTAGTTGGGTCCTGGGTAGTTGTTGCCTGGGTAGTTGGGTCCTGGGCAGTTGTTGCCTGGGTAGTTGGCGCCTGGGTAGTTGTTGCCTGGGTAGTTGCTGCCTGGATAGTAGTTGCCTGGCTAGTTGTTGCCTGGGTAGTTGTTCCCTGGGTAGTTGTTTCCTGGATAGTTGTTGCCTGGGTAGTTGTTGCCTGGGTAGGTGTTGCCTGGGTAGTTGTTGCCTGGGTGGCTGTTGCCTGGGTATTTGCTGCTTGGGTAGTTGTTGCCTTGGTAGTTGGTGCCTGGGCAGTTGTTGCCTGGGAAGTTGGGACCTGGGTAGTTGTTCCCTGGGTAGTTGGCGCCTGGGTAGCTGTTGCCTGGGCAGTTGCTGCCTGGGTAGTTGGGCCCTGGGTAGTGGTTGCCTGGGTAGTTGTGGCCTGGGTATTTGCTTCTTGGGTAGTTGGGTCCTGGGCAGTTGTTGCCTGGGTAGTTGTTGCCTGGGTAGTTGTTGCCTGGGCAGTTGTTGCCTGGGTATTTGCAGCTTGGGTAGTTGGGCCCTGGGTAGTTGTTGCCTGGGTAGTTGTTGCCTGGGTAGCTGGGACCTGGGTAGTTGTTGTCTGGGTAGTTGTTGCCTCGGTAGCTGGGGCCTGGGTACTTGTTGCCTGGATAGTTGTTGCCTGGGTAGTTGTTGCCTGGGTAGTTGGTGCCCGGGTAGTTGGTGCGTGGGTAGTTGTTGCGTGGGTAGTTGTTGCCTGGGTAGTTGTTGCCTGGGTAGTTGTTGCCTGGGTAATTGTTGCCTGGGTAGTTGTTGCCTGGGTTGTTGGGTCCTTGGTAGTTGTTGCCATGGCAGTTGTTGCCTGGGTAGTTGTTGCCTGGGTAGTTGGGTCCTGCGTAGTTGTTGCCTGGGTAGTTGTTGCCTGGGTAGTTGTTGCCTGGGTAGTTGGGTCCTGGGTAGTTGTTGCTTGGGTAGTTTGGCCCTGGGTACTTGGGCCATGGGTAGTTGTTGCCTGGGTAGTTGTTGCCTGTGTTGTTGTTGCCTGGGTAGTTGTTGCCTGGGTAGTTGGGTCCTGTGCAGTTGTGGCCTGGGTAGTTGGGCCCTGGGTAGTTGTTGCCTGGGTAATTGGCGCCCGGGTAGTTGTTGCCTGGGTGGATTTTGCCAGGGTAGTTGCTGCCTGGGTAGTTGGGTCCTGGGTAGTTGTTGCCTGGGTAGGTGGGTCCTGGGTAGTTGTTGCCTGGGTAGTTGTTGCCTGGGCAGTTGTTGCCTGGGTAGTTGGCGCCTGGGTAGTTGTTGCCTGGTTAGTTGGGTCCTGGGTAGTTGTTGCCTGGGTAATTGTTGCCTGGGTAGTTGTTGCCTGGGTAGTTGTTTCCTGGGTAGTGGGGCCCTGAGTAGTTCGGTCCTGGGTAGTTGGTGCCTGGGTAGTTGTTGCCTGGGAAGCTGAGCCCTGGGTAGTTGTTGCCTGGGAAGCTGGGCCCTGGGTAGTTGTTGCCTGGGTAGTTGGGCCCTGGGTAGTTGTTGCCTGGTTAGCTGGGCTCTGGGTAGTTGTTGCCTGGGTAGCTGGGCCCTGGGTAGTTGTTGCCTGGGTAGTTGGCGCCTGGGTAGTTGGGTCCTGGGTAGTTGTTGCTTGGGTAGCTGGGCTCTGGGTAGTTGTTGCCTGGGTATTTGGGCCCTGGGTATTTGTTGCCTGGGTAGTTGGGCCCTGGGTAGTTGTTGCCTGGATAGTTGTTGCCTGGGTAGTTG